ACACCTCTTCAGATCATTTTGATCATGTGAAATCGAATTAGTAAAAAAGAAAGTAAAAGCTTCTGTCAATTAAAGCGTTTATAATGAACAGATCAAAGCTGAGGAATTCCCGACACATGCCAGCTGACTGATTTATACCCAAAAAACCAATAAGTTTATCCTCCTTTCTTATCTTATTTTTTTTGAAGACCGATGGTAAGCGCATTTCATTTTAGTTTACCAAGGTTCGCTCATTGCTAAAACTGCAGTGAGTTGTGCTCAGCCTTTTCTATGGGGATCGTAGATCTTTTGAGACATCTTGTATATCACAAAAACTTGTCATTATTGCGAGAGTTCCACCGTTACAGAGCCCTGCTCTGCCCATTCCAATTCCTGTTCCTGCTGCAGCACAAACGGAGGGCTCGAATTTAGCTCAGGCATCTTCACTTCTAATGAAATCTACAAAGCTTGTGCAATGTTCCACAATTCCGATATTACTTCAGAGCCATGGATTGCCTCTTCAAGCTTCAACATCGCTAGCGGTTGTACCTGGACAGGACTTGCAAAAACCAGCGAATGGAGTTAAGGCAAGTGTTTACATGAATCAATTCTTTCAACTCTATCATGATGTTTGCATTTTCCCGTGAGGTTCATTTTCCCCAAGCCGACTATTCAGATTCCAACATCGCCATTGCTTTCGCCAGCCAAACAAATGTATGCTAACGAGACAAAGCAAAATGAGGTAAGAAATCGATGAAATGAGATTGATGAAGGCACACAAGACAAAAAGTCATATCTTTGCTTAGAGTCCTGCACTGCCTGTTCCTGCCCCTGTCTCCTCTGTATCTCCAGTAGAAGTCATTGCTAATGTGCCAGCACAGCAAGTTTCAGCATCTAAAGTTTTCGATGTTAGTTTTTTAGAACTCAGCAAGTTTAAAGATTTCTACGAAACGGGGATTTTGCAGAATACGGCAGTACAACCACCTCAAGGAAGAGCTCTGAAAACAACAGATCCACAGAATGACGCCCCAATTAACAAGGTTATTGCATCTGCTACATCACTTGTCGAATCCTAGCTGAAATTTAAGCGTCTCTTGCAGAGTTCGAAATTGAGTGCATCACCATTCAAAGTACTCGCTAAAATGGCCCCAAAGGTAACACTAATCTCTCCTTACACACGGTATCTCACAAATATTTGAAGTGAAGTGAGAGTTGTAATGGAAGAGGGAGAGAGAAGACGGGGAGTGGGTCATTCAGCATTCATCAGTGAATCATCGTGAAGCTTGCTATTGTTTAGAAGTCATGACCAGGCAAATACAATACCGCTCATAACTTGTGCAGAAAAATAATTTCACATAATCTTGCGAGGAATTGCACCGTCATAACATTGTTTAAAATAGATATTTTTCAAAGGGAATTTTATTAAACTCAG